GCAGTTATATATAAGAGTTCAAAGGAGCAACCAGGGTTAGATATCAAGATTTAGAAGTCATCAGTATAATGGTATTTAAGGTTTTTAAATCACCTAGGGAAAGCCCATAAGATAGAGAACTAGGCCTTGATTGAGATCCAGAGCATTCTAATGTAGAAGCTAGGCAGAAAATTAGAAGCCAGCAGAGGACACTGAGTAGTGTAAGGTAAGGAAGAGAACAAAGAAAACCAATGGCCACCTGGATTAAATGCTTTAAGCCAAGATTGGAATAAAGAAATGGCCATTGGACTTGGTGACATGGAGTTATTGCTGGTTTTGACATGGGCAGTGTCTATGAAGTAATGAAATCAAAGCCTGGTTGATGTGGATACTTTAAGAAGATACTTTAGGGAAGAAGGTGGAGTCAGTATCTATAAACAACTCTTCCAAGAAGTTTTACCTCAAGAAAGTAAGAAAAATAGGGCAGTAAGTAGCTAAGTATCTGGAAGTAGATATGGGGTTAAGAAAGGGGTGTGGGGGCGTGTGTGTGTGTTAGAGGATGCTAGAGCATATTTACTTATTCATGAGAATGATCTGGTAGAAAGGGGAAAACTAATTATGCAAGAGAGAATTTATAGAAAAGGCTTTGGGAGGTAGAAGGGTTCAGATTCATAGCATAAACAGGGAGGTTAGTTTTTGATAGGAGGAGACACATAGAACTATAATGGGAGGGAAGGCAGAGTGTGTAACATGCTGATAGGTTGGTAGATTTGTGATAAAAAGGTAAGGATGTTACTATGTGAAGAGTTTTATTTTACCAAGAGAATTTAAAAGTCAACATGGGGAGTGGGAAGTGAGTATAGGTTGAAGGAGAGATGTGTAGGTAGTTGGAAAGAGGGAACACACACACACACATATATGTGTACATATATGTGGGTATTTGTGTGTATGTAATACCCAACAGGAAAAAGACCTATTATATAAAATACTTTAAAGCCATTTTCACTAAATATTTTTGAGACATCTTATTTGGAAGATCTGAATTGGAATTCTGAGCTTTCCAAGGATGCTGATAACAGAGTACTCTTTTATGTAACGTAGAGATTGAGCACTTCTCAATGCTATAGATAATTCTCATGTTGTTATTTTTGTCTATTACAGTGTGAAAGACAAACATCTTACAGCTATTCTAAGTCAAAACTTATGAAAATTAAACGGCTTAACCATAAAAGAAGTGTTTTGCATACTCAAGTTGTCAGTTTTCTCAGAACACTATATTGAGAGGGGTTGAGCCCCCATCTGAATTTTTTTTTAAAAAGCAATCAGGCTTTAATTGTTTGGTAAAACAATACTTTTATTATGATTTGTTTTCATATGAAAAACATCTGTCATTTAGGAGAGGGGGGTTATGGTAATTTTTTTCATTATGCCCTCCCTATCCCATAGGAAGGATGAGTTCTTTGTGCTTGGAGCTTCATTTCTAAGTAGGTTGTATGTAATTCAGTGTATTAGAATTTATAGGTACATATTTATTCCTTGGATTTGATGTAAAATTAGATTGTGAATAATGAAATAAGACTGTTCTACTTTTTTTTGCTGTTTTAGCATAGCCAAAAATATAGAGATACATTGTACATATAAATATGTATTTGATTAATCCCTTAATAGTTAAATGGTCATGTCAAATATTAAATGGTAGATTTGACAGTTGCAGTGTAAATAAATAAAAAAGCTATAAAAATCTTTGTAGCACAAATCCTGAAGAATTTATTAAATACTAAATAGTACATTTATATTAAGTGCCTAGATAACATCTGTCTAGGTTGAGACATTTAATCCCTCATAGAGCAATATCTGACTAGTGAAAAACTGCAGCTGAAAACATTTGTCCTTCCAATAAGTATGAATATGACTTTTAAATGCATCTTTTTGTAACCTATCATAAACTTATTTACCATAAATATGGATTTAGCACTGAATCCATCTACTCTTGCAAAAGGGGGAAAAGATCTGTTTGTGAGAATAAGGAAGCACAGCACTGTATTACTTTTTTCTCTCTGGTTTTACATCACTAGTGTTTCAATACATGCCCTCCGCTCAGGTTCCTTACACAGCCTATGTTCTCTTTTCTGGTTGTATCACAACATTGTAGAAAGATAAACATAGTAAGAGGGTGTTAACAATAGAACTGCAATCCTACCTATTACCTACTTTACTATGACAGTGAAGTAGTCCAGACTTACTTGAAGGTGGTATTGTTTTCATCTTATAAAAATCTACTGTAATATTATGATGTTCCATGTAAATTTTCATGTGCTGGCATGCTTAGAAGTTAATAGAGTTATAGAATGCTCAGCTCTCAATGAGGGGTCGTTTGTCGTGAGTCGCATTACATATGTCATCTATCTATTTGATGAAAGAATATGGTGTTTAGCAAAACTACCTGCTGAGCAACATAATAAGATTTTTGTACAAAGTACAAGTAACTAATTACTGTATTTTATTTTTCTATGATTTCCTAAGAGGCATTATCAGGGTCTTACAGATGGAGTAAGCCTGTTTATTAAAGTATCTATTAGTAAATAAAAGTTACAGTTCTGGTGGTTGAATTTGTGACTTTTTTGTATTGTTGTATTGATCATATTTAATATAATCTATTTTAGTCTATTAAATCTAGATGTTCTTTATGAGTAATTCTGGAGACAAAATCATAGCTGTAAGTTTTCAAAATAACATCATTAAGGTCAAGACATAAATCACTATAAATAATTGGGACATACTTTTGTAATGATTGTATATCAGCAAAATATTTTGTGAGATTCAAGTAAATTAAACTGTCCATTGCATAGGTAATACTGTATACAAATTCAAATGACCAAAAGATACACATACAACTATTCAAACAGCTTTAGACCATCAACATTCATTCCAAAAATCTTCCAATAAATTATGAATCATGGATTTTCTATTTATTTTCTTAAAGTTCCTGGTAAGAAAATACATTAATTGTATCTTGAATTAACCAGAATAGTGCTGGATTCATCATATCTCACTCTTCTCTCTTATAATTCTTCTACTACAGTTTCAAAAGCCAGTATGAAATTTTAACTGATAACAAAGTACTTGAAACTTTCTTTCCTTATACAGGTATCTTAAGTAGCCCTCATGAGACTACATACCATTTTAAAACTTCTTATTCTTCTAATAAAATGAGAAGAACCAAACTAACGTCGTAAACCAAGGAAAACCAATTTTTATGTTGAGCCTTGAGTGTGCTGTTGAGAGTTGTTTCCACTGGCAAAGCACCAAAACGGCAGATTCAGCCATATGAAACATTTACTTTTTTTAAGGTTGTTAGTTTTGAAAACTAGCATTTTCTAGGTTATGGAGTAGATTGAGGGTTTCATGACCACTATTTGGTCTCTAATAATGATAAGCCAACAAATCAACTACGCTAATCTAAGATAACTACTTAGCTAAAATTTTTAAGAGAATTATGTACCTTAAGAGAACTATTCACTTAGCTAATTTCTTTTTAAGAATTATATTATCTGCTTAAATTTACTGAAAAGTTAGATATCCAGTCTCCCCATTGTATGTCCAGTTTTCACTAAATATTTTATACTAAGCAAAAACAGAACTCAACCTAGGGGCATAAAATATCAACTCCAAACAGGAAAACTTGTCTGTCTACTAAAGTTTCCTGAAACATAAGATTTCTGCTTAGCTCTAAAAAAAAAAAAAAAAAAAAAGGGTCAAAGTCTGGCTATCTGCATGTAGCTTCCAACTTTTATCAGAGTGAGTCACAATATCCAGACACACAGAAAAGTAATCAACACCTTACTGTAAATTCATTGAGTCAGAAGGTGAAGGACCACATTTAAAAATCCTATCCATATAATAAAAATTTCATGGCAAGGGAAGACAGGAAATTATTTATCGAACATCTACAATGTGCCAAACACATATACTTCTGTTATCCATTTATTCCTCAAAACATCCAGTTGAAGTAGTGTCATTTTGAAGGTGAGGAAGCTGAATAATAGAGCAGGTTAATTGGCCTAAGGCCACACAATAAAGACTATATTTCCATACTCCATTTTTACAAGGACATTGGTAAATAAGTTGTTTTGTATAAGCAACTATTGTTTTTTGTGTTTTGTCAGTTCTTCTCTTTCAACAGTCACTAGTCCAGACCACATTTTTTTTCCATCATAAAAATAACAGAACCATATTTGAAAATTTGGAAAATGAAAGAAAACCACCTCATGATCATGCTAATACAGCCTTTTATATAATTCTTTCTAGTCTCTTTTTTTCAACCTAATTCATTTAATAGGCCCAAATAATTCATATGCCAAAGAACAGGTAGGGTAGTAAACATAACATTAGGTAGCTGGAGGGGGGAAACAATCATACTCATGACTGACAAAGGAAATGAATCATTTACTATTAACACCCCAGAGCAATTTAAGAAGGTGTTTAAGCATTCCGACTATGGATTCCTTTCCTGACCACCCGCAGATTTGATTCTGGAGACTGTAATTTAATCACAGGAGACTATGCCTCATGGAAATCTCTTCAGGAGATCAGACAGCTAAGAAGCCAGGTTACAGGCATATTTCCTTTGCCAAATAATGCCTTTGATATCTCCTCTCCCTACCCACAGTAACAGTCTTGCTTCTCCTGGTCCCCCGGGTATGAGGCCCAGCAGGGCTGGAAGAGGGTAGGTGCGATGGGCAAGGGGCCTGTCCGCCGCACACCTCGCCCTAGAGTGCAATCGGCTCCTGCAGCTGTTGCCACCACGCTGCGCCCCTGCCCGACGCCGACGCAGGCGCCCCAGCGCTCTGAGCGCTGATCCCCAAGAGCGGACATCCCCGAGCTGGCTGGGAGCCTGGCGCGGCGAGAAAAGCCCGCCGCAAAGGCGGACGCCACACGTTCCCAGCAGGCTGTGCGCGTGCCTACAACTCCCGTCATGCTCCACGCGGACTGCCCAGCTCCTCGCTGGAAGGCGGCAGTTCGCCCAGTCACCCTTGCTCACACTTCTTTAATACTCCTCGCTGTGCCTCTGGCATTTTGGGGACCTTTTCAATCCTACAACGAGTGTGCGGCGACTGACGCGCTAAAACCTCTGAGGAGGCGTGGCTCCAGACCGGAAGAACCTTCGGTTGCCACGGGAACGCCACGCACCAAAGGCATCAAGGCGCCTGCCCAGCTACTGATGGTTGGGCTGAAGCAGACGCTGCCCCTTCGCCCAACTTGCAGAGGCAGTTTTGTTCAGGACTCGGCGTCCTTCTTCCGATGGAGGCCTAGAGAGAAAGGCTGAGGGGCGTCCGCACCACATTCCCTGTCGAGAGACGGAAAGGAGCGAGTGCGTCCGTTCCTGTTCAGCAGCTCCTGGGCCCGCGGGACAAACGTCAAAGAGCAGGTATCTCCCACCCCGCAGCGCCGCCCCCCAATCCCGCCGCCAGTTTTAGAATTGCTCTTGCCCATGTTTTTCCCTACGTGTAGTTGTTTCTAATGTGTGAGAGGTAGAAAAGAAGAAGTGGGCTAGGAACCCCAGAAAACTCATTGCACTGCTCTGGGTGAATTTTTGTTTGATTGGGTGGTTTTAACACTACCCAGATTGGGCCTTTTTATTTGGTGTGTACGAAGTATAATTGAAATTCCGTCATCAAAAACTGAAAGCTGAATAAAAATGTTTATTGGGTGTGCTATAATTCACTCTAGAAACATTTTTAAAGTTTATGAAGTACCATTCATGGTGTCTTCTTTGCCCGACCACTCTCTACAACTTACCTTCCAAGCTCTTAGCTGTGGATAGTATCCTAATTCTTCAGAACTTTTCTGGCAACAAGTGAAAAAATCCTTTAGAAAGCAGTTTCTTCGATGACAGCCAAGAGAATTTGATTGGCTGGTATGCAGAGAGGAAAACAGTGAGATAAGAAACTGGAAAGGTGGACTGGAGTCCGATTGTAAACAACTTTAAAAGCTGTGCATGAAAGTTTAGACTTTATTCTAAAAGCCAGTAGTTCTAATAGTGACTGTACATCAGAAACGCTATGTAGCTTTTTAAAACAGATGCCCTCATTCCATCTTCAGATATACTAATCCAATTAGCTGATTCGATTGTGCAGGCAGGGTTGAGAATCATGGCTGTAGGAGTAGGGAGATACAGAAAACTTTAATTGTATCTCCTACTGTGGACTTAGGAGCCTCCAAATGAATGCTGAGAGATTTAAACTGTTATCTTTCATTTCCCTCTTTCATGCATGCAAAAAGTAAACATAAAAATGTAGAATTACTGAGAAATAAAAGCATATATAAGGCTATAAGGTAGATGTTACAAAGCTACTTCAATAAATGTAATTATATCTTTTAGAACATCTGACTTCTCTTGTAAATTGTATGTCCCAGAGTTTTTCAATAACAAGCATTAGGTGCTTGATAATCCATGAAAAAGGGATGGCAAATCACAACCCAAGGTTCTATGAAAAAAAGACAAATATTCAGGTATCAAGCTTTTGACAATCAATGCTTTATATAGATGCTCAGAGGGAGATGATGTGAGAAGTGTGAGAAGTGGTCGTATTTTAAAAAATCCGTTCAAAACTGTATGGAAATTGGAAAGCGAGGTATAAGCCTGTATCAATATGCTTAGTACAATTAATAACAAAGTGAGCTATATCAAATTTATTTTGATAAAATGATCTATATGATTTGTTTCATGATATCAGAAGGCTAACTTAAAGTAGATTCTACAGATGCCTGTCCTTAAGCTGAGATTTAGAGGAACAGATTGAGTGAGATTTGAATCTCTAACACAAGGGGAAAAGTCGATTCAAGCGGCACAAATGGAATTCCTGAAGTCAGACCCATCCCTTGGGTAAGACAGACACCTGTGGCCTCATGCTTGGGTGAGGCATTGCACCTTCTCTTTTCCACACATCACTGAATTGTTGATGCAGCCTGCTTTCAGATGCAGTTGTCTCGGAAGCCTCTTATTTTTCAAGTGGCTGCATTTTTTAAGTGGCCTACAAGGTATGGTCTTGCGTGGCTGGTATGGAATGAAAAATACTGAAATAGCTATAAAATGACAGGTTTCTGGAGCCTTATACAGAGATGAATTAAATGATATTAACATTTAGAAATTTTGAAAATGATGGTTTGGGGAGTAATAGGAAATGTTTGGAATACAGGTGTTTTGTAGTTACTGCTGTAGCAGTCTCTGCAGCTAAGGGCTGGCAAAGGCGATCTCTTTCTTCTCTCACTACATGTTTTTTAGAGTGGGAGTGATGGGCCCAAAGACAGAACCTTGGGAAAGTTTCATTTGAAGACCAGAAGTCTAAATCTAACAGTACCTTAAAGGATATGAATAGCCATAAATTTACCACATAGCCAGCAATATGTCATCAGCAATTTTATTTGACTTCAAAATAGGTGGATTGCTGATGAAGTTTGTTTTTTGTTTTTGTTTCTGTTTTCATTTTTTGAGGTTTTAATTGGAAGGATTTTTTTTTCCCCAAAGGAAAAATTGATAAACAAACAAATGAACCCTTCAGGGACAAGTTAACAAAGAAACTTTTATGGTATTTGAGAAAATGAGATTAAAATATAAGATTAGTATTAGGGTTCCTATATTTTACTAGTATACTAATTAAAGTTCTTTTAAAATAATGTTTAACTACATATTTCAGGTAAGTTATAGTTTCAAAGAAACAGATATTTATTAAAGTTCAGTGAAATTGTGTATTTTATACATAGCCTTCTTCCCAAATGGATTTGTGTTGACTTACGAGGATATATGTAAGGACTAAAGAGAAATTAAGATAAATATATCAGTTAGGATTCTTTGTTTCTACAGATAGAAAACATACCTAAACTGGATATAATCAAGCAAACAAAAAGGGTAAATTTAATATTTATTAGTTCATATTATTGCAAATACAGCAATGAGGCTGGCTTTAGAAAAAGATTTAGCCAATGGCTCAAATGATAGAGCCAAAATCTCAGTTTTTCTCTGTTATTCTGGTCTGCCTTCTGCTTCTGAGCTTCAGCATCATACCCCACATGAATGCCGTTGCCTGTACGTTGTTCCAGATTTCCTGAAAAGGCTGCAGATGCTCTCAGGTAGCACAAATGGCAGACCTCACATGACACTGAATTTAACCACATTTTCTTCTTAAATATTATAAGTTACTATGAGAAATGTAGAGTTATTTCAAGGGCATTATTCTGTGTTACCAGGGGTTATAAGCTGCCAATCTGCATTTCAGTTAAGGCTCCTTTCTGGTAATCAGCTTAAACTCTGTTTACTAAGTGCAAAGCTACATTATCATGGTTTTCACAGTATCCCTGTGTCTTTAAATTATGAAATTTTTGATATATATGCTCATATTTTCCATATTTAAGATACTTGTGGGAGATATATTTTTTTTTCTTTTTTTTCCTCTTGACTTACAGCTGGTTTGGAAATACTTGACTCACATTATGGGATTGTTAGACAGACTTTCAGGCTTGCTTGGCCTGAAGAAGAAGGAGGTTCATGTTTTGTGCCTTGGTTTGGATAACAGTGGCAAAACAACAATCATTAATAAACTTAAACCTTCAAATGTAAGTATATTTATTAGATACTTTATGTATTTTCTGCTAAAGAAAGTTAATGCCAAAGTATTTCATTTGCCATTATAATTTCATTATCATGTTATAAAATCTTGTTAACCTTGTAGTACCTTAAAATAATAAGTATCAGCCAGCCATAATTTGCAGTTTATTTTATGCAGATATGTAGGTAAATCTTGATTAATTAAACCAGAATATTTTCCAAATATTTGTCTTTTCCTCTCAGAAGATCTTGACAAATTTGCAGTTTACTTTCAGGTAGCATTGCCTTCTTTTTACCTCCCTCTTTATAAGAGGAGCAAAACAAGCAGAAAGGTGAATCATTTTTATAGGTTCTATGGATAATTAGACAGTTTCCCAAGAGTGTGGTATGCGTTATCAGTAGTAGCAAGCAGAATGACTTTAAGTCATTTAAGTAGTAAATATGTGAACATATTATTTTAATAACTGAAAAATATATAAAGCTAGCATATTCAATACATAATGCATAAGTTAAAGTTAAGTTCTGCGACAAAGAGAAAACCCCCATAACGGTGGACTAAATAAGATAGAGAGGCTTCTTTTTCTGTCATCTAAGTAAGTTTATATGAGATATTCCAAGCTACACGGCCAAGGCATCTGACATCTTTCTGCCCTGCTATCCTTAGTGCCTGATTTTCCTCCAAGATCCTCAAGATCCCCACGTGGTCACCTTAGCTAACTATCCTGTCTATATTCTGTCACAGGGATGAGAAAAGAACAGAGCAGAAGAATAGGTCTTCTTGCTAAATAAGCTCTCTTTAAAGAGCTTACTCAGGAGCCCCAACTAATGACTCTTAGACTTCAGTGAAGTGGCTACTTCATCTGTAAATGAAGCTGGATTTTTTTTTTTTTTAAGCAAGGCATACTGTTGATTCCATAAATGATCAAGGTCCTATAAGTATGGAAGAAGAGGAGAGTGGATATTGGGTAGATAGCTAACATTTACAATTGTAAATGCATTTGTTTAGGCAAACCATTAGTCAATTAATAAAAAATGTTGATTAAAAAATAGTATAGCCTGCATGCAGTTAGAACAAAAATTAGGAAGCTGACACTCTTAATGACTGAATGGCTGGGGAGAGGGAATTGTTCCTAAGTCTGATGGTTAAAGGTTAAAGTACTTCATTGCTTCCAAACAGTGCTTCAGTTTGGGCAGAATCAGAAGCCTTACTGCTCCATTTTCTTATTGCAACAGCTTCAGTTTTACTTCTGTTTCAGTTTGCTATTACTTTGGAATTACGAAAATGCCATTATTTCTTTTCTTCTGGTCATCATTCCCTTCTTCTACATGGATGAATTTGCCACTTGAAAATAACTAACTGCTGGTGTATTTTCAGGTGGGAATTAGTTTTAGGTAGCTGGAATAAGAAGCTGAAAATGGATGTGGAGAGTAATTTAGGTGTTTTAAGGGGCTCCCCAGCTGAGTTGGAAATCAGCTAAGATATGCTGAAGTTAGGCAGGGATGAAAAATAGCAAGTGTATTGAAAAAGCTGACTTTGAAGGGCAAGGTTTAGGTCTGGTCAGAGGACTTGCTAACAGTCTCTTGAATTATGATTAACATCCCAGAATACAAGCGTTCTTCCTCAGGGAAAGATCCTACTCTTCTAGGTTCACTGCATGGCTCAGAACAGGTGATGAGTATGCATGGTTTAGATAAGCATGTGGCTCTCAAATGAGAGTGAGAGACAGGGACAGAGAGAGGCAGAACAAAGGATGCTTAGTTCCACTTCACACACTGAGCAGTTAAAGAAGTCTGTTTTTTCCCCCATAGAGAGGAGTAAATTTGGAGACGGGAAATAGAGTAAACTAGAAGTGTCATTTCTGGAGTTTTCTCTGTATAGAAACAGGGGGAAAAATATTATTCCCTAGTAAGGAGGACAGGTTAAAAAACCTGTGTACATGGGAGTCTTGTCTCCTGACCTAGGTGAATATAAGAAATTTCGTTATCAGCCCTTAAGAGGAAGATACAGCATCCTACCCAATTGAATGAGGTCCAGGATTGAATTAGAGAGCAGTGAATGTGTCGTAAAAGTAGGACCATACCCAGGTAGTCCTTAATCAATACTGTGAATCAACTATCAGCAGATCAACCTGGGCTAATATTTAAGAAATTCAGTGGCTGGTGACCTGCACTTCTGCAGGTAAGGCCATCAGCAATAAGTGAGCAAGATTGTAAGGAAGTTCTTTAGGTAAGATCCTATTCTATAGGAGATACTTCCATTTTTCTCCATATCAAGGAATATCCTCAAAAGAAAATTTTTTTTGGTTGAAGTAGTCTCAAATAAGTACAAAATGATTGAAACCAAAGCCACAGTTAATAACCCCAAAGTGGAACAGCACCCCACCCCATGCCTGCTATACTCAAATTGGCAGAAATAACATTCAAAGAACAAAACAGAAGTTAGATTCTCTTATTCCATCATCCTCAATAGTTCAGCAATCTTTTGTCCCAAGACAAGTTTATTACCATAGGAATAATCTTTGATACGAGTGGAAACAGCTTTCTTCATTAAATAATATTGGTCATTTGAAGACAGTTGTTCTTATTTTTTAGGTTAGTTATAGATTTTTTTCCATAATTTCTCCTGTCATTTCTAGGAATTTGGGGCAGAAAGAGAGAAAGCAGCATGAGCTCGGTTTATTATCTTGAAATATTCTAATATCTCAATTTCAGACTAGTCTTGTAAAAGACCTGTTGACATTGCCTAAACACCATATTAGTCAGGGAGAGCCCTCAGGAAAACCTGGGCACCCAGCCAATAACTAAAGCATTTTAATTAATCTTCTGCTTCACAACATCCCTGTCTCTGTGTTACCTCTAGTGAATTATGGAACTAGCATAGACTAACTCCAGGGCTATTTTTAAAGGGATCACCTAATTTCTGACACCATATCCTGACACTTAATCCTTATGCAACTGTCCTATCTCCTCAGAACAATTGACATCTACATTCTGAGAGCCAAGTTGCTTTGCTTTTTTTTTTAATTAAAAACAACTTGGTGATAATAGCCAAGAGGCTGCTTGAAATGGAACTTCTTAAAAGCCCAAAACTTCCGTCACTCAGGTATAGATGTAAAACTTACTTCCTGCCTACCTTTGAACCCAAGAAGAGTCTCTTATGAATTTATATCCACTATGAGAAAAATTATTTTTAATGAATTAAGTGAATTATAGAAATCTACGGTGCTTTATTAGGAAATGCCTTACAAAAGAAATTACAAATCTCATTTTATAGTAGTCTCTTTATTTTTTGTGGATAAAATCAGTTTCTAGATAACTAGATACCTGCTGAACCCAAACTGATTTTTAGTATTAAGTTGTCCTAATGTTCATTTATTGTTAATATATTGAGGTTGCTGGTGTTTTCTAAACTGATGGATAGGGAGAGAGAGGAGATACATTTTAACCTGGTAACTCTTTTCAAGAATCTGGTCATTTTCTTAAGAGATGTGCTCTATAAACACCTGTCTTTTAAAGTTCCCACTTTTGCCTCACTCCCCAGCATAAATGCTCTCATTCTATCACTTCATCCAGTTTTATATTCTTAACCTTTAAAATAATGTGGGATTATCTTGCATATTCAGTTGGTAACTGGTTTATTAAATTTTTCCTCATTCTAAAACTAAATTTCATATGAGCATAGATCTTGTATTGTTCAACATGAATCCCAATACCTAGACTATTGCTTGGTACTGAAACATATTTTTGAACAAGTGGACTGATGGGTGATCTTTTTATTTTCATTTTTGGGCAGGGAATGATGATTAATAGCATCAAGGATGTCATTTTTAGCAGAATTAATAAAACTAACCAAATAGGTTCTCTCTCAGAAATCTTGTTCTAGTCTTATTGATGTTGGTCTATTCCTGGGCTATCTCAGATGATGTGTTCCACTTAGGTAATAATTTCTACCCTCTTTGCTTAATTTGTAAGCTTTTCCTGTAGCAGGTGAAACAGCAAGTTAAAAAAGAGTTTGTGAAGAAGCTGGGAGGCTGTGGAGAGGCTAGGCCAATTTCTAATTACAATTCAGTGAAAGCTGCTCATTTGAGGTATATTTTCAGAGATTTCCTTCAACTTTTAACTTCCTCACTTTTTTATTATTGTTAGATTTTTCCTGAGTATAATCGCTGATGATTTATCACATGAAAATCCTTAAAATCAAAACAGTAGGGTCTTTTGAGACAACAAAAATTAGGAAACTCTTTATTCCTATGTTTGTTTGCAGGGAAGGGCCCGTAAGGTATGAGGCAGGAATCTGAGTAGCGGGAAATAAAATTTTCTAACATAAACAAAAAGAAAGATATTTTTGGAAGTATACTAGACAGCTCACAAGATGGAAGGAAAAGCTGAGTAAATAAATTTCAGAGAAGCAAAATCAGGGCAACTCGGGGAGGCCTTGTCACTAGCACATTACTGCTCAGGTGATCAAGCTACAGTGACTTTTCAGCTTCTGTCTTTCCACTTGAATTTTAAATTTCCAGAAGTAGACTACCAAAGTGAGCATAATGACGTGAGACATCAATTCCTCCTCTCTTGTCTTTACATAAAAGCAACAAGATGACCTGAAGATGGTGTTTGGTTTTTGTTGGCTTTTTTTAGTTACACTTTTGACAGTATGGAGAAAATTGGGGACAGGACTGAAATCAGTGAGCAAGTAATTCAAATAATAGCAAACATTTCTTGAGTGTTTACTATGGACCAAACACTTGTGTTGGGTATTTTGCATCCGTTAACTCATTTTATTCTCATGATAACATTATAAGTTAAGGTTAATAATATAATATTTCACATTTGAGAAAACTAAGGCTTAGAGAAGTTACATAACTTGTTTAAAGTAGTATCTTAGCAATTAGGGGTAATCAGGAGGCTGGTGTAGTCATTTGAAGTAAGAAATGATAAGGGCCTGAGCCATGTTAGTGAGATAGAACCAGCAAAGCTTAGAGAACGGTTATGTAGGGAACATAAAAAAGGGGAGGTGTCAAGAATAACTCCTAGGCATCTGAATCAGAAAGTGGGTAGATTGTTATTCAAAAAGAAGAACAGTTTTGATGGTAGAAGTATTATGAGGCATATGATGAGTTAACTAGTCGGTTTAAGGCGTTTTACTTGCCAGTGGGATTTGTCAGCAGGTCTCCCGCTGTGCTCTTGCCCCTTGCAATCTCTTTTCCACACAGTCCCCACCAGGGCCTTCAAGGCCCCACCACTCTTACGTGGTCACATACAGGTCTTCCCCTTACTCAATCTACATTAGATGTATAAGCCTTCTACTTTCCCTGAGTAGTGAGTTCCTTCCTGCCTGTGGTCACTGCCCTGGCTAATTCCTTTGACTGGAATGTTCTTTGCAAAGATCTGGTCATAACTCTTCCCCTCCATACCACTCACTCCTGGGTGAGATGTCACCTCAGACAGGCTGTTCCTATGCCAGCCCTCCTCTGCCCCATTGTCCCCCACCCTTACTCACCTTTCATTTCACTTATCACCGCTCACAGTTATGTTCCCTTGTTTATTGCTGTTTACCTTCTCTAGATTATAAATTTCATGAGTGCAGGGACCATGTAGATCACCATCTAGACATGAGGACAGTCCTCTGTAGCATACATAAACTCAGTAAGTGTGTGCTGAAGTATTAGAAAGTCCTATATGTGAGCTAAAGGTGAGTTATCAAACCACTTTAAGTCCATGATAACTTGCAGCAAGTCACAAAATGTGAATTGAGACATATACATTATACAGATTCCTAAATAGTAAACCTTAAATTTTTATGATGAATTTATATACAGTCGTCCCATTCCAAAATTATGATTTTGTTTAATCCTTTCATCTCCTTAGTGGCAGACTTTAGAATTGGAAAATCTGGATGCTTTTTTTTTTAACCTGAGGAAAAATTCACCTTTGCTAATTGCAAATTTCTAAACTTCATCTTTTCTCTTAAAGGCTCAATCTCAAGATATAGTTCCAACTATAGGATTCAGCATAGAGAAATTCAAATCATCCAGGTAATTCACTTTATTATACTTGTGGTTAAGAATTTGTGGGTGAAAAATGATATTACATCTACCTAGTCATTCCTCTGCTCTTAGAAAATAATGATTTGTTGTTTTAAGAAGCCCATAGATGTTAAAATATTTGTACCACTACCTCTGGATTATTCTTCAGACTTTAGGTTTTAGATACACTCTGATAACCTCACTAGCAAAGAAAATATCTTTTTTTATATGTTACTCATTATAAAATCATATTTATATTCAATAAATTCGTCTTATGGCACTTGTACTTGAAAGCTGCTCTGAGTAGAATATTGTATATTCAAGGGTGGTTCCTTTGATTGAAAACAATTTAAAATTTTAATTAAAAGCTATACTTTTAGTAGTTTATAATATGGTTTTTTAAATTTTTGTTTTGTTTGTTTTGTTTTGTAGTTTGTCTTTTACAGTGTTTGACATGTCAGGTCAAGGAAGATACAGAAATCTCTGGGAACACTATTATAAGTAAGTCTGTGAATGTTGGTTAACTAGATGGTCATATTTTAATAACAAGCAATGATTAGAAATCCAAATAATTACATGAGCTGGGTTGCAATGTTTAATTTTTATATAATTTAAGTGTATTTCCTAACTTAAAAAAATGTATAATCATACTTCCCATTATTTCTCAAATGCTACAGATCCTTTGTGACCTTGGGCCTTGCATATGCTGTGCTCTGTTTTTAATGCCCGATTTTACCGTGCTTCTCTGCAGCTTATATTTAAGAACTAGCTCAAAAGTCACCTCCTCTGTGAAGTTTCCACTATTTTGCCCAGTTATTCTGTCCCCAGTGTTCACACAGTACTTTGTCCATTCACATCTCTGTAATCATACTTACTGCATCTTAATGTCATGTACCATAGCTGCCTCCCTAATGAGACTATGAACTCTTCAACAGCAGGGATTTTTTCTTATTCAGGTTATTTCTTCATGACCATGCATGATGGTAGGTATATAGATCAGTAAATACTTACTGAATAAATTTTGTTAAAATAACAGCAGTAATAGTTGATCCATTTGTTCTACAAGCAGTTCTAAACAAGACATTTTTCAGCATGTGCAAATCAAGTGCTAATTACTTGAGATTAACAGCTGTCAAGTTGCTAGGATACAAATGTATTATACCCTCTCGAGATTTGCTTGTGGTGTTAAAATGAATTCAGTAACTTCTGATATTGCTAGGACTCCTTCATTTATTTGTGTAACTCACTCTTGGAGTCTGAAACTTATAAACAGTATCTCTTCACTAAATGCCCTTTTGTCAGAATGAACTGCTATGTGATGACTGCCAGATCAGGTTTTGATTTTCATTGGTTAATTCTTTCGTACTAATGTAGGAACAAATACTGTATTCCTTAGATATGAACCAAAGGAGATTTATTCCAGATATTCTTTTCAGCAAGTACCTTAATAGATTGAAGGCCTATTTAAATCATAAAGATACAGAGGACCTCTGAAGCAGTCTCTTCTCTCTACCTCAGATTTGAGGATCAGTTTGGAAAAAGAAAGGTGGAATGTTTGTGGTATCCTGCATTAAATTCCCTGGGGAAATGTGAGGTGTTTTTGTTTTGTTTTTAAGGAAACTTTGGTTTTCAGTATAGGATTTTTTTTTATTTTTGAAAAAACATACTTAGCTACTTTTTAAAAAATAACATTTAATTACTTTACAGAGAACACAGTACTACATAGAAAACAGTAGTTGAAAAAAGGAAACTTTTTTCTGATTTTAGCTTCTTTTTCTTCAGAATCTTTTGGAAGAAGTTAATGAATTCAGCAATATTATAGATACATTGTAGGCTGTGTGTATTTGGAAAGGAGTTAATGTTTGAAAAATATAGGAAAGAGTATCAAAAAATTGTTTCCCATAAATCTCACTACTAACTACCATTGTTAATCTTGGTATGTTTCTTCTATTTTTAAATACATAATGTACACCTTACATAACTGAGAAAGCAACCTTCTAAAGTATAGACCATGTGTGATAGTTTCCCATTTAATGTTCTATGATAAGGGTAAGTCAGGAAAAATGTACAAAGAGTGTAACTCTCATGGCTGTCTAATATTTTTTCATATTCCTGTGCTAAAATTTGCTTAATCATTTCTCTATTTTTAGACATAAAGGCTGTTCTCAGTTTTTGAACATTATTAACACTTCACTTAACATTTTGCGGCAAGAGTCTTTGTCATAGTTCATGCTTCCTTAGAATAAATTCCAGTAATAAAATTACTGGGCTCAAAATGATTGAACATTTTTAAAGCTCTTGATAGATATTTTCAGTTGTACAAGTTTTTATACCCATCAGTAATATATGACTGTGATAATCTGCATTCATTCTTTAAAATAATAGCAGAAAATGGTATTAAAAGGTTGTTCTATTTTTATATGCATGTGATAACTAATGACATTGAACTTTAAAATCTTAATTTATGACTAGAATAAGTGATTCACAAAAATATATAAATGCCTGATATATATATGAAAATATATTGAATTTAACTAGCAATTAACAAAACACAAAGTTAAATATGTGCTGTTAGAATGGTAAAAAATTGAAAAGAATGGTAAAAGCCATGCTGGCAAGAGGGTAGGAAAAGTGCCGATAGTAGTATAAATTGGTACAGCATTTCTGGAAGATAATTTGTCAATGTTTATCTGAAACTTTGAAGTTTGTGTGTATGCCTAGAAATTTTATTCTTAAGAACAAATCTTAAAGTATCAAGAAATTTTAAAAATGTGTTTAGAAGGATGTTTATCCCAGAGTTTTTCATAGTAATGAAAAATTGGAAGTCATCTACAAAGTCCAACAGTAGAAGTTTAATACAGTATTTAATGACACACCTATACAGTGGAGCACTTTATAACCATTAAAAGAAAGGTATGGAGGGAATCTGGTTTTTGAAGTGCCACTGTGATCTGTAAGTGAATCCTTAAACCAGTTTCAGTGGCTGATTATCAACTTAAAAACATCAAATAGAGTAAAATAAAAGCTCTTTGTAAGTATTGTTTCAGGAGACTATTTCAAATACATTTACATATAGTTACTTGTCTAACTGCATCTTAATGTAAAATGTATTTCTGACTATGGTTATGGTAAAAAAGTATTTGAAAAACCGTAGGACAGGGTTTTAATATTTCATATAAAAGTAGTTCAAACTATACTGTAAACAAAAATCATGTACATATATATCAGAAAGGCAGTATAAAACAGCAGGATTCCCTTTATATACAGATGTAGATAGTCATATGTGAATATACAAAAAGAAAACGTTGAAAGTGATTTACATGAAAGTATTAATGATTGTATCTATATAATAGGATTATAGTTTTATTTGTTATTTTTTAATTTTGAAATAAGTTATTGGATTTACCATATTATGATCCAAAGGAAAAGAAATTATTGTGCACGAAATATGACTCACATGGTTAATATATTAATCATGCGTATAAACTAGTAAGAAACAGCACCAAAGACTGTAATGATAAATGGATATAGGACATGAAGAGATAAATAGGCAGGTTAGAAAATGCAAATGAGTAGTAAACATAGAAAAATGTGTAAGTTTATCTTTAATTTTTCTCATTTTTTTATATTATACAGAGAAGGACAAGCCATTATTTTTGTCGTTGATAGTAGTGATAGATTACGAATGGTTGTGGCCAAAGAAGAACTGGATACTCTTCTGAATCATCCAGGTACACGTATGTGTCTTTCAGACTGTGATGTCCACTGTGCTTTGGAGTCTGATTATGTATGATGTTCTGTTTTTTAGATGAGCAAGAAGTGTTGTTTATACTGTGTAATATACTGTGTAGTATATATGTGTAGCATATATTTTTAAAGTTTCAAATCTTTTTGCAATGTTTTCCAGGTCTTTGACCTGTATTTCCCTGAAAATAAAAATGCCCTTTTTCTGATTACATAAATAACATATGTCAATTGCAAAATGTGAACAGGTAAAGAATAAGGAAGAAAGTAAAAATCCATTTTGCAGCACGTTAACTTTTTTTGATTACCATCTTTTTACATGTATGTATGTGTATGTATGTGTAACCACAGCATTTCTTACATATTTGTTGTAGGGAATTCTTTTAAAACAGATCTTTTCTGTTTTTAAACTAGTGCCAGTTCCTCAACCCCTTTTTAATATATCAATATTATATTATATGATATTATATAATACTATAATATATCAGTATTAATAGTTTGATATTTTTTCTTTCATACCATTATATAATACCATTTCATATATATATGCATATACATATATAGGTACTATAGATACATATAGTCATCCCTTGGTATCCACAGGTGACTAAGGGGTTCTAGGACCCCAAAAGCTGTGGTTGTTCTAGTCATTTATGTAATGTGGTGTAGTATTTCTGTAGAACCTATGCGCATCCTCCCACATACTTTAAATTATCTCCACATTACTTGCAATACCTAACAAAATGTAAATGCTGTGTACATAATGCCAGCATACGATAAATTCAAGTTTTGCTTTTGGGAACTTTCTGTCATTTTTTCCCCGAATATTTTCCATCTGCAGTTGGTTGAATTTGTGGATTCAGAGTCTGCAGACATAAAAGGCCCACTGTGTACAGTTGGGGGCTGTGAAGACTGTCATTGTTACTTACTAAAATGGGATCATATTCTGTACACTCTTCTGCATCTTCCTGTTTTCAAATAACACTGCATGATGAAAATCCTTTCAAGTCAAATTTCATAAATGTAATTATTCTTTTTAATGATGCATAATATGTCATAGTACAAACATGCCACAGTTTATTCAGTCTTTCACCTATTGATAGATACTCTTTTTTTCCCCCACACTACTAACAGTTCTCCAGTAGTATTGTGGAATTCCACATTTTGATCCTTACTCATGCAGAAAGATTTTAAGTAGTTTTTGTGTTAGGACTTTAAGAAAATGATTTAAAAGAAATATGAATTTGTTAGAAATAGAACAGAAATAGTATGGGGCTTTCTGACAATTCTTGCTGCTTAATCATGGTGTCTTTGGTATTTTTATTGGATAACCTCAAGTTTATTCAAATATTGGGTGAGGAGGAGGAATTATCCAAGTTTTTTTCTAAATATATTTTTGTTGAAGTATGGTGTGTCAATTTCTGGTGTACAGCATAATGCATGAAGATTCATATCATTTTCATATTCTTATTCACCGTAAGTTACTACAAGATATTGAACATAATACCCTGTGCTATATAGTATTATTGTTTATCTACTTTATGTATATTAGTATCTGCAAATCTTGAACTCCCAATTTATCCCTTCCCACTCTCTTCCCTTCCTGGTAACTGTAGGTTTGTTTTCTGTCTGTAAGTCTGTTTCTGTTTTGTAAATAAGTTCATTTGTCTCTCTCTCTCTTTTTTTTTTTTTTTTTAGCTTCCACATACAATTGATACCAAATGATTTTTCTGGTTTGATAATTTTCTATTGTATTAGCTCAGTTTCTTTTTGGTTTTTATGATTCTGTTGTATGCTTTTGATTTGTGGTTACCCTGTTTTTCAAGTATGTTACCCTCTTACTCTGTCTTTGCTTTGGACGGATAGTCATGTAGGCTCAAACACATCCTAAAAAGAATGATGGAAAAAATGAAACAAAAAAAAAAAGAGAGTGACAAAAAAATCTGTATTTTCTTGCTCCCATTCTCTGTAATGATTTTGATGTCCTTTTTTTTTTTAACATCTTCATGTTTATTCTGTTGCAAATCATTGTGGTTATTGCATTTCCAGTTATGGTTTTCTTGTTCTATAGCTTCCTGCTCCTTGCTTCTTTTCTATTTAGAGTAGACCTTTCAATATTTCTTTTAGGATAGGTTTGATATTGCTGAATTCTTCTAGTTTTTGCTTGTTTGTGAAATTCTTTATCTCTGCTTCTACTCTAAAGGATAGTCTTACCTGATAGAGTATTCTAGGTTGCAGCTTTTTCTCATTCAGGAGTTTGAATATATCTTGCCACTCCCTTCTGGCCAGCAGTGTTTGTGTAAAGAAATCATCTGAAAGCCTTATGGGAGTTCCTTTGTTACTAATTCTGTTTTTCTCTTGCTGCCTTTAGAATCATTTCTTTATCTTTTACTTTCGTCATCTTAATTATAATATGTCTTGGTGTAGATCTGTTTGGGTTCTTCTTTTTTGAGACCCTCTGTGCTTCTTGTACTTGGATATCTATTTTGTTCTTTATATTTGGAAAGTTTTCAGTCATGGTTTCTTCAAATACCTTTTCAATCCCCTTCTCTCTTTCTTTTCCTTCTGGGACCCTATAATGCATAGGTTGGCATGCTTTATATTATCCCATAGGTCCCTTATGTTGCTTTCATTGGTTTTTACTTGCTTTTCTGTCTGCTGTTCAGATTGGGTGAGTTCTGTTATCCTGTCTTATAAGTCACTTGAAAATTCTTCTGCATTATCTGGTCTGCTTTTGACTGCCTTTAGCTCGGCTCTTATCTCAGCCATTGAGTTTTCTGTTTTTAATTGGCTCCCCTTTATAGTTTCAATTTCCTTTTTATAGTATTCTCTCTCTATTCATAGTCTCTCTTATTTCCTTCAATGCTTTTATCACCCCGTTTTTGAAGTCATGGTCTAGTAGATTGTTGAGGTCTATCTCGTTCATTCTTTCAGGGGACTTCTCTTGTTCTTGCAATTAGGAGTGGTTCCTCTGCTTCTTCATTTCACTTGTATTTCTCTGGCTTTGTGGCTTTAGAAGTACCAGTTATCTACTGTGGTCTTGAAGGGGTGTTTGTTTGTTTGTTTTTATTTAAAGTGGGAGTGTTCCTGTGTACACTGTGTGCATCTAACAGTTTTATTGCGAGGGCTGTTCTTAGTATGGATGGTTGCCACCTCTTTCTTCCATGTGTGTTGGCTGTTACCCTTTGATTGGGGTTGTGGTTGGTGTTGTGAGAGCCTGCCCTGATTGTTGTTGTTTAGCTGGGCCTCCTTTTTTTGTTCTGCAGTTGTCAGAGCCTTTACAGGGGCCTGGTCTGCTCCCCTGTTGCTGAAATAGGAGCTTCTAGACCCATTTCTGAGCTGTGGTGTGTAGTAGGCAGGGTTGGAGCGCTTCAGCTGGGAAGAAGAGAAGGCAAGAGATGTCCACTGGGAAGTGCCTTCTGTGGTGTTCTCTGTCACTTGTTATGCGGGCTTACAAAGTACTCTTTGTTGACGCTGCCTTTGTCCCCACCTTTGCTCTGAGAATGTCAGCCACCCACTCTGGTGTCCCCCGGGTTCTGGGCCCCAGAAACCACCAGCGCAGATCCACCAATGTCTGGCACTAGGGCCTGCCATAGTGAGCATGTAGTCACACACTTGAATCAGCACTGCACCACAGGGTCAGCACAGACCCAGCCCCACTTCCATGTGAGGTCAGTACACCGGCCTGTTGTCGGCCTGTTGTAAGTACCTGTACTTGCCCCCATCATGCGTGATGGAACTCTGTTCACTGCCTATTTGTCCCAGAGGTGCAGGTCCACAAAGGGTCCAGGGAGAGCAAATCCACACTCTCTGCCTGGGGCTGTAAACAAATCTCAGTCCTGACTGTGAAGTTGCAGGGCCCTTGGGTATAAATATTTCTTAAATATTTGGGTCAAAGTATTTTCTGATTTACCTTGTAAATTATCTGATGCTTGGATTATTTAGTAGTATATTATTTAATTTCCCAAATATTTGGGAATTTTGTTATTGGCTTCTAATTTAATTGACTTCTAATTTAATTCCATTTGATCAAAGAACCCATTCTGTATGATTTTTATCCTTAGACATTTATAGTCTAACATACTTGGTTTAGTATGGTAAACATTCCATCTGCAATTATGTAGAATGTGTATCTTGCTGTTCTTGAGTGAAGAGTTCTATAAATGGCAGTTGATAGTATTATTTACACCTTCCACATTCTTTGTTTTCACTGAGGTATAGTTGATATACAATATCATATAAGTTTAAACATAGTGATTCACAATTTTTAAAGGTTTTGTACCGTTTATAGTTAATATAAAATATTGGCTATATTCCCTGTGTTGTACAATATATCCTTGTAACTTATTTTATATATAGTAGTTTATACCTCTTAATCCTCCACTCCTATCTTGCTCCTTCCCCTTTTCTCTCCCTACTGGTAATCACTGTATGTACCACATCTTCTTTATCCATTCATCTGTTGGTGGACAATTAAGTTGTTTCCATATCTTGGCAATTTTAAGTAATGCTTCTATGAACATTGGGGTGCATATATCATTTTAAATTAGTGTTTTCAAGTTG